TTGATTCATGGTAGCAGCCATTCTTTCTGGGGTGAGGTGGAATCTCAGCATCGTTTGCATTTGAATCTCTTGAATGACCAGTGATGTTGAACATTTTTCATATGTTTATTTGCTATTTCTAATTCTTTGTCTGAGAAATGTCTGTTCATTTCAGATGACCATTTTTGGATTGGGTCTTTAAATTTGGAGGTCTGATTTTTTTAAGTTCTTTATAGATTCTAGATAGTAAACCTTTGAGGAACAACAGGTGAAAATTTTTTCCCACATTGTGGGTTGTCTCTTCACACTGTTGGTGGTTTGCTGTGCAGAAGCTTTTTAATAATAAGAGATCCCACTTGTTGATTGTGCTAGTTCACGGCCAACTGAAGTTTTGTTCATAAAATCTTTTCCTGCACCAATGTCTTCAAGGGTTCTTCCTAAATGCTCTTCTAGCTGGTTTAGTGTTTCTGTTTTAATATTTAGATCTTTAATCCATTTAGATTTTAGTTTAGTGCATTGTGAGTGATATAGGTCTAGTTTTAATCTTTAGCAAGGTGAAACCCAATTTTTCCATCACCATTTATTAAAGAGGCTATCTTTCCTCCAGTGAGGGTGTTTGGCTTCTTTGTCGAAGATGAGGTGGCTGAATGTGTCTGGAGTTGTTTCTGTATCTTCTAATCTGTTCCACTGGTCCTCAGGTCTGTTTCTTTGCCAGTACCATGCTGGGTTGTTTTTTTATTTTTTATTTTTTATCACAGTAGCTTTGTAGTATAGTTTCAAGTTGGGAGTTGTGATACCCCCTGCCATGTCTCTGTTGCCTAGGATTGCTTTTGTTATTCTAGGTCTCTTCTTGTTCCTAATGAATTTTTGGATTATTTTCTCAAGGTCTGTGAAGTATGCTGCTGGAATTTCAATTGGGATTGGTTTCAATTGTGTCTTTTTTTTTTTTTTTTTTTTTTTTTTGAGTGGTACCAGGACTCAAACCCAGGGCATTCTCACTGAGCTACATCCCCAGCTCTTTTAAAAAATTTTGAGCCCTGCTCGCTTCGGCAGCACTAAAAAATTTTGAGCCAAGGTCTTGCAAACTCATTAAATTGCCCAGGCTGGGCTAGAATTGCAATCCTCTTGCTTCCTAGAGTGCTGGGATTACAAGTGTACACCACAACAGCTAAAGTGGACTTTAGCCTCTATCTCTCCATTACAGTCTTCAGTGGAGCCGGAAAATCCCCTGACCTGGGGAGGCTTAAATGAATTCTGGGGCCTCAAGGAGACAGGAGATGACTGTCAAAAGCACTGTGTGCTGATTAAAATGGACCTGCCCCTCAGCCCATCAAGGTGTCACCCCTCCTTCGAGGGTGACTGCAGTGCTGTCTTGGAAAGGTCAGATATGCCTGTAATATCAGACAGGGAGGCTGAGGCAGGAGGAGGAAAAGTTTGAACCTAGCCTGGGCAACTTAGCAATTTAGTGAGACCCTGTTTCAAAGTAAAAATTAGGGCCGGGGATTTAGCTCAGTGGTTTCGCTGCCTGCTGCGCAAGCGCAAGGACCTGAGTTTGATCCCCGGTACCAAAAAACCCCCCAAAAAACCTAAAGTAAAAATTTAAAAGGGGCCAGGGATTTAGCTCAGTGGTTCCGCCGCCTGCCTCCCAAGTGGAAGAACCTGAGCTCGATCCCCGGTACCAAAAAAATAAATAAAAATTAAAAAATTAAAAAAGGCTGGGGATGTAGTTTAGTGAGAAGGCCCCGGGCTCAACCCCCAGTACTGAAGAAAAAACAAAACAAAAGAAAGAAAGATCAAATATCAAAATCTTTCCCAAACTGCGTCTTTCCATTTTTCTATTTGGCACCTCTGCTTTACAGACAGTGTGAATAAGTACTTGGTAAAGTAGTCATCATAAGCTGGCATTGCGGATCTAGAAGTCATTTCCTAGCCGAGAGCAAGGGCAGGCTAGGCTCAGGACCCCAGACCCGGAACCCTCAAAGCTGGGAACTCTGTAGGGCTGCAGCTGCATGGGGAACGGGATCTGGGAGGGACTTCCTGTTGTCCCTAATCCCAGTCTCCACCCGGCTCCCGCCTTCTTGGTGCTTGCTGCAGAGACTGCCTTCCCTGGGGAGGGGCCCAGCTGCCCCAGGTACCCCCTCCACCTCCACCTTGGTGAGACGGGGGTGCTGGGGTGGGTGCTAGATCCTGAGGCTGGCACAGGTGGCCAGCTTGCAAGAGGGGACAGGGTCAAAGGCTTTGGGTTGGCAGGAAGGAAGGGGCCTGGACCTGGGTTTGGGAAGGACATTGTCTGCAGGGACCACGAGTGCGACAGACATCCCGAGGTGCTAGTTGCAGCTGCAGAGCGAAGTGCTGAGAGGGAGGTGGGTTGATTCCTGAATGGGGATCCTAGGTGGGCCAGGGCATAGGGTGTATGTCCTGAGGCCTGTGGCTCTGATTCCCCAATCTGTGAAGGACAGGCCCCACCAGCCCATTTTGTTGGATCTCTGCAGAACTTCCTACTCCTGGTGACAGGAAATACTGGTTTCGATTTAGCCCCAGCTTTCCTTGAACTGATGGCCCTGAGATGTGAGGCTCTTCAGCAATAAAGGGGACAATACTCAACAGCATTCTTTTGAAAGGAAGAAACAAAAACCATCATTGAAGGTGGGACCATAGGATTAGGTGAGATTTCATTTCCACAGAGCTCTGTTTTGGTGTGCAGATTTTCAGGGCACATTAGAGGTGTCCAGGAATCACTTGCTGATTTCTTTCTGCTCTTCCAGGCTTCTGGCCAGAAGCCAGAGGGGGGTTGGCTGGCAGTAGGGAGAAACAACTTGCTGTTCTTCCTAGCTCTGAAACAGAAAATGTCTGCGGATGGTGGAGGCGTCCCTGTTGCTGAGAACAAGGAGAGAGCCCAGGAGGTATGATGGGGTTTCAGATGAAGGAGGCCTACATTGGAAGGAACCGAGCAAAATGTGATGGGGGTGGAGTGGGGTCAAAGGAGGGTGTCTGGACCAAGGGAAGAGTTAGACTCCCTGGTCAAGGAGGCCTGGAGATTGGGGTACTGGGTGTGGAGTGTTGGAGAGAAGGAGGCATGATGGGAAATACCCTCCATCTGGCATTTCCACTGTAACTCTTTCACTTTTCACTTTGCCTGGTGGATTCCATAGTCAGTGGGCACATGAGATAGTGGGGAGCTTAGAAGGTGTCCTCTGATAAGGTTTTATCTGTACAGTGTCGAGTGTACAGGGAACCTCATTCTGCTCCCCACTCCCTCTGCCTGGGCATATCTTCTCATCTGTCTGGGTCTCAGCTCCCTGTTCTTCCTGTGCCTGGTGTCTATGTGTGTGGGTATTTGCACCCATCCACAGGAGTGTGTGCATTGTGTGTTTGTGTGTGTGTATAATTACCACCTTCCAGGAACTAGTGTCCCCAGGACCAGAGTCAGAGGACTCTGAGTCAGCTGCAGGCCAGGTGTGTGACTTGGCCAGTCCCCTGGCCTATGGTCATCAAGGGTGTCACCTGTAAAACGTGGATCATGTGGATAGTCTCTACCTATCTCCCCAGGTCCTGGGGAGGCTGGAGGGAAGTAATAGGCATGAAGCCTTCTGTAAGCAGCTCATCAGGTTGTAACTGATAATTATGCTATGCAATGCCAGGCACCACTGACTGCTGGAACCTGTACTCTCCCCTCACCTAGTCTGTTTCTCCGTATACATCTGGCATTAGTGCTACCGACTTCATGCCACTGAAGTTCAGACAATTGTTACCCCTGTTCAGTGTCCCTTCCAAGATGGCTTGTTACATGTCCCTTGAGCACCTGACAAGCTTGAACATCCACATTTCTGCTGATGTCAGATCCTGTCGTGCATGCACAGGTATTGTGATAATAATAATAATTACCTGTGGTGCTTTGTGTTTATCTAGAATCTTCTCTCACCTACCTGTGTGCCCCTCATAACTACTCTGGGTAGGCTGGGGAACAGCTGAGTCTCAAAGGCCTTCACCAGTCGGGGTTATTGCTGGCTCTGGCACTCTGGCAGCCAGGTACTCTGACTTGGGGCTGAGGATCTCTCTAGACCTGAACACAGACAGAGGAGGTGTGAGGAGAGCTGGGTGCGAGCTGGTGCCCTGTGCTGCGGTGGTGATGAGAGCGATGGCTTGCCCAAAGCTTTTGAGCTCTGTGGTTGTGGGCCGTTGTCTAATCTCTGGGCCTTGGTATGTGTGTTTCCTGTAGCTGCAACAGATATCACTGACTGGGTAGCTTCAGACAACCATGATTTATTCTCTCAAAGTCCTGGAGATGAAGTTGTTAGCTGGGTCATGCTCCCTCCAAAGGATCTTGTGCAGGACCCTTCCCTCCCCTCCCAGCGTTAGGTGGCTTCTGGTTCTCTTTGGCTTCCTTGATGATGGGGGCTGTCATTCCTAGATTTCAGGTCAGGGCCGTCCCTGTCAAGACATGCTGTCTGGGCTGGAGAAGATAGTGCCTTTGGGAGCTGCTCACGCATCACAGCATATCAAGATGGAGCCGGAAGAGCCAGAACCTGAGGGGGCTTCACAGGAGGACAGGGCTCCAGGTGGATGTGGTCGGCTGTCCATACGTCCTGGCTCTAAAGAGAAAGCTCTCCTGCCTGGTGGAGGTAGGAGAGGGAGATGGGAGAACGAGATGCTTTCCTGGGGAGGCAGTTATGGGAAGGTAGAAACTTGGCCAAGGCAGGGTTGAAGAGCTTTAACCTGGGAGGGGATGCAGAAGTCCACCTGACAATCCACCTGACTATCTGAGACCACTCCTGGTGGCCTCTTGTTGGATTGGGTTGGGAGTGGTATGAGAGGTAGCTGGGGAACAGCAGCATACAGCAGGAGGAGCTGACCACTGTACAGATCCCTCTCCTCCCACAGTCCTTTCTTCACCCCGGATCCCTGTGCTTTCCCTTGAGGGGAGGACCAGAGACCAGCAGATGGCTGCAGCTCTCCTCACAGCCTGGTCCCAGGTGAGTGTCCCTGTCAGGCCTCTTTGCCCCGACTCCTGCCTGTCTCTGGGTGGAGGCAGGGCCCTTCCCTGGCCCTGCATCTGCTGCTTCCAGCTAGTGAGGCTGGAAGGAAGTAATTGGGCACGAAACCCTGACCTTTCCACTGGCCCAGGACTGTCCCTGAAGTGCTGTGGGAATGGCCACCTGAGCATCCTGCTCCAGGCCTGGAGCCCACAGTTAGGCCTGGTTGAGGCTGGAGAAACAGCAGAACAGAGTGGAAAGTTGGGTCTGTGATTGTGACTCGTCCTCCAGGGGCTGAGATGAGGGTGGAAGATGTATGGAGAGCCTGAGCTTTGGCTATGGCCCCTGAATACAATGCTTTGTTTTTGAACCTCCCCCAACAAAGACCATCCTTGCGTGGCTGTCCCACCTGACCATGAGGTCTGGGTGGCAGGCCTCCCTGGGGACAAGTTGGGAGGCCAGGGTCTCAGCACACATCTTGGCATCATCATTCTACCATGTCCATGCGTATCCTGGGCATAGGGTGTTTTGTGTTATGTCAGATGCCTGTGACCTTTGAGGATGTGGCTCTGTACCTCTCCCGGGAGGAGTGGGGACGGCTGGACCATACACAACAAAACTTCTACAGGGATGTGCTGCAGAAGAAAAATGGGCTGGCCTTGGGTAAGAGCTCACCGGTGGTGGCGGGCATCTGGCTTCCTGAGGCGCTGGAGTGAGGGTGGGGCTGTCCTGCTGTTACCTCCCTGTTCCTTTTCTTTGGGGGGGGGTACTGAGAATTGAACCCAGGGCCTTCACACTGAGCTCCATTTCCAGCCCTTTTTTCTTTTTCTTTTTTTTTTTTGGTACCGCGGATCGAACTCAGGACCTTGCGCTTGCAAGGCAGGCGCCAGAACCACTGAGCTAAATCCACAGCCCCCTTTTTTATTTTTCAATTTTGAGACAGGATCTCACTAAGTTGCTAAGTTGCCTGGTCTGGGCTTAAACTTGATCCTCCTGCCTCAGCCTCCCAGAGTGCTGGGATCACAGGTGTGTGCTACTGCACCCAGCTCCTTCTCATTGTTCCCTCAGATAGCATTGTTCTGTGGAAGCTTCCACAGGGATAGAAACATTCTGCATCTGTCCTAGGATGGCAGCCACAGGCCCAGTGCCTGCTGAGCACTAGAAATGTGACTAGAGCAATTGAGTTTTTAATTTTATTCAACTTTGATCAGCTCAGATTTCAGTGTAAACAGCTGTGGTTTGTGTTTGCCCTACTGGACAGCTCTGATCTGGGTTCTGCTTTTCTTCTGTCCTTTCTCAGTGCTTGTTCTTCCCCATAGTTCTTTCTCCCTTCTCAAGGCCCCAGCTTCAGAAACATCTGCAGAAAGCTTGGCCCTGGGCTCTGTGGACTGCTCAGCCTGTTGGGAAGTGCCGTCAGCTAATCCCTTAGGCACAACAGACCCTGAGGTGTCACATCTGCCCTGTGAACCTGGGGAGCCTATGCACCTCAGTGGGGCTTGGCTACCTTGGTTCTCTCATGGCAGGTATTTAAGTTCCAGGCTTCTGACTCCTCCATTTCAGACCAGTTTTCTTGACAGGATCTGATGATGTCATTGTCATTCAGTCAGTCAGTCAGTACCCAGCTGCTGCACACCTGCTGGTCCAGGGAACTGTACCCTTGACTTCCATGGTGGTCTGCAGGCCCCTGCTGGTCTCCGCAGCTGCCATGCTTACTCCTCTAATTATCTCAGTTTGGCTCCCCATCCCACCCACTGTTCACACCCCCAGGGGCCCAGACCAACAAGCCCAGGCAAGTCCCAGGGGATCAGAAGGAGCTGAGCACCCAGCCACAGGCCCCATAGATCCCCTGAGCCACTTTGTGGGTCCCATGAATTCCTTTCCTCCCATGAATTATAGAAGCCACAGCTCCTTTGTTCTCCTCCTGACTTGACCAAAATTCCCAGGGCCTCTTACCCCAGGGACTCAGCACATGGATCCTTTGGTCCTGACTTCTTGGTTGTCAGTGTTCCCAGCCTCTTGCCCTGGGCCTGCCACTTGTCCTCCTATCCCCCATGCAAGTGCAGGCATAGGACAGTTCTTCCCACCCCTTACTGTGCTGACAGACTGAAGAGGGAAGGGATCTGCCATCTGACCTGGTTCAGCTCTGCTCCTCCCCCTGGGATCTGTTGCTTGTACAGGGAAACAGGCAGGGCCGCTCAGCGATGGGAAGGGTACAGCAGGCTGTTTCCCTAAAAAGGCACACACTGTCACTCAAAAGAATTTTTATTTATTTTTTTCTTGTGGTACCAGGGATCAAACTCAGGTACTTGCGCTTGTGAGGCAGGTGTGGCACCACCGAGCTAAATCCCTGGCCGAAGGATTTTTTTTTAAATGCTGAGGATCTACCCAGGGCTTCCTGCATGTTAAGCGCAAGTACTGTACCACTGAACTACATGCCCAGACCTTTTTTGAAAATTTCAAGACAAGGTCTCAATAAATTGCCCAGGCTGGCTTCGAACTTGTGATTCTCGTGCCTCAGCCTCCTGAATGCTGGGATCACAGGCATGCACCACTGTGCCAGGGCATTTTTAAAGTGTATTTTGCCCATGTTTCCTGGAGCCTCACTGCCTCCTTTTGATCCAACCCTTTTTGGGGGGGTGATGTCTACTGGTGGGAACAGCCTGGGAAGTCCCATGATGAGCACAGCCTCTTTCTGGGCAGGGTTTCCCTTCAGCAGGCCTTTCTGGGCCCCGCAAGTGCCTGGGAAGGTTGAGACCTCGAGCTCCAGCAGACAGACAGGAGCTGAGGAGGAGAGTGACGCTGGCTCAGGTGAGGGCCTTGGCGGGGGCCTTGGTCTGAGGAAGGGGTGTGGGCCCTGCCAATCCCGGGTGCTCCCTGTGGGTGCAGGACTTCGGATGCCTCTCTAGAGGGTTGTTCTTCCCTCTATGGGTGCCTGTGAACCCAGCCCCTGGTCTTAGCTCTTCCTCCCCACCCCTGGGGTCCTTCCAGAAAAAAGCTTGTCTCCTTAGAACCCCTTTCCTTCCCCAGGAGCTGTGGAGGTGGGGAAGGAAGCTCTAGCAAAGTCTGTGGCAGCCCTTGGGCATGTGAAGCCCTTCTTTTCCAGGGCAGGGTGGGTTTCAGGGCAGGGCCCCCAGTGGAGGCAGCAAGTCACCAGTGACCAGAATGCGGGGTCCGCCAGAGACACTGGGCAGCCGGCTCCCGGGGAAGCAAGGTGGCCCGCCCTCACCCTGCCCAATACCCACCCCACAAAGACCCTGGAGGGCTGCATCCCAGAGAACCCCAGTGAAGAGGGGAAGGGCGCCCCTGAGAGCGGTGAGGAGGGTCTGGCCCCTGATGGCGAGGTGGGAAAGAAGAGCTATAAATGCGAGCAGTGTGGCAAGGGCTTCAGCTGGCAGTCACATCTGGTCACACACCGGCGCACACACACCGGAGAGAAGCCCTACGCCTGCACGGACTGCGGCAAGCGATTCAGCCGAAGCTCGCACCTCATCCAGCACCAGATCATACACACAGGCGAGAAGCCCTACACCTGCCCCTCTTGCTGGAAGAGCTTCAGCCACCACTCCACGCTGATCCAGCACCAGCGCATCCACACCGGCGAGAAGCCGTACGTGTGCGACCGCTGCGCCAAGCGCTTCACCCGCCGCTCGGACCTGGTCACGCACCAGGGCACACACACAGGCGCCAAGCCGCACAAGTGCCCCATCTGCGGCAAGTGCTTCTCGCAGAGCTCAGCCTTGGTCACGCACCAGCGCACGCACACGGGCCTGAAGCCCTACCCGTGCCCCGAGTGCGGCAAGTGCTTCAGCCAGCGCTCCAACCTCATAGCGCACAACCGCACGCACACAGGCGAGAAGCCCTACCACTGCCTCGACTGTGGCAAGAGCTTCGGCCACAGCTCGCACCTCACCGCCCACCAGCGCACTCACCGTGGTGTGCGGCCCTATGCCTGCCCTCTGTGCGGCAAGAGCTTCAGCCGCCGCTCCAACTTACACCGCCATGAGAAGATACACAGCAGCGGGCCCAAGGCGCTGGCTGTGCTCATGTTGGGGGCAGCAGCCGCGGGGACTCTGGCCGCACCTCCACCTGCCCCCACCTAAATTGGCGGAGAAGGAGGGGTAGCGGGGCATCCGGGACAGCTAGGACAGGCCCACTGAAATTAGGGCCTTGGCCTTGGCCTTAGCCTTGGCATGGGAAGCAGAGGGGCAAGGGATGAGCTCTGGGGAGGTGCAGGCATGGGGTTGGGAATGGCATCGCGGGAGGTGAGACGGTGCAGCGGGCCTCTAGCCAAAAATTAAAGGCCTTAAAATGCAAGCTCTGGCCTAAGCCTCTGTCTTATAGGCACTTGTACTGACCCCCTGAGCGCGGGGTGGTGGTGGGGCTGGGCCAACTGTGTGTCTCCATCCCTGAGTCACCACTCTGGGCTGAGGCACTCCCTCCTTCTGAGCCTTCCTTTTTTGTTTTGTTTTGTTTGTTTGTTTGGTACCGGCATCAAACTCCGGTCCTTGCGCTTGCACAGCAGGTGGCGAAACCACTGAGCTAAATCCCTGGCCCTAGTTTGTGTGTGTGTGTGTGTGTGTGTGTG